ATTTGTGTGTTTTAACAGGGAACCAAAGGGGATCCAGGCCTTCCAGGACTTCCTGGCCCTGCTGGTTACCGAGGTCAGAAGGGAGACAGGGTAAGGAGACATGATGACCATAAAACAGCTCCCATTTCACGTGCACCCTGACTCAGACCCACCCTATCCCTCTCTGGAGTAAGATGTCTGTTTTTATTTATTTTAACAAGAACTTTCAGTAACATCACATAGAGAGGAAGAGGATTCACACACGTCAAATTCACCCAATTCCTGCTCAACACATTGGTTAAACACAGCCTCGAAGACACTGACCAGCATGTTCTAGTGAAGGGTTCCACTGGGAGAACCTGCATTCTGGACATCACATGGACGGTTCTGTAACAGCTATGCTGAACATAAATGTCTCCCTGCAGATCCAGCCTCCCACTGGAACAACAGCAGATCATAACTGTTTAGGAAGAACTCAAAAACTCGTGGGTGTTCAATCGGTGTCAACCATCAGATGGTGTCTGTAGGAAGTCTAAAGCCTGATTTCTACTTCTCCATCAGCTCCGCTGTGTGTGTATGTGTGTGTGTGTGTGTGTGTGTGTGGGGGGGGGGGGGGGTCGAGAGAGAGAGACTGAGAGATTTGAGATTTCAAAACTCCATTTATTCACATCGTGATGTCAATGAACAAGAATTACAGTAACACTGTCCCAAAGTCTAATTGTCCATCAACAACTTTGCAGAGAACACCTTTCACAGCCGTGTCCGTATGAATCTGTCCACATCGTGGCAGACTGAAGAGTATGCAAACTCTAGTAACAGCTTCGCTCTGACATTTATTCGCCATACTCTCACCACGTCATAAGCTCGCTCTTCTTGTAACTTATCCCTCCGAGAAAGATAAATTGCCAATTTGGCTTCACCCATTAAAAAGTGCAATACTCCGTTCCTGACCTTATTTGTTTTGTTTGATTTCACCCCACCAACAAAAACTGTGGAAGAAAAAACTGTACCAAAAACACCGAAATATACTTAAATATGTCAAAAAAGAGGAGCAAGCCTCTTACAGTCGTAAAACACGTGAAAAATATTCTCAAATAAATTACACAAAGGGCAAGCAGTAGACACATTAACATTCAACTTGGACAAAAACGTGTTTTTAGCAATTGCTCCATGTAAGATTCTCCACTGCAAGTCTCCAGGCCTTCTGGTCACCGGAGAAACATAAAGTGTCGACCACATCAGAGCATGTCTTCCAAGTCTCTCCGACCATACTGTGGATGAGAGGCCTTTCAGTTTCTCCATGTTAATTGTCTTTACACAACTCACGTATAACGCTTGTGTCCCAGCATTGGGAAGGGACAGCTTACCTCCACACGACAACTGTAGCAGTGGGCCATCCATGTCCACAAAAGGCACGGACAAAAGCAAGTCTAGGGGTCCATCAGTTGAGTTTGTTGCCAGTTCCTTCCCACTAATTGCTTCCATGGAAGCCAGTTTTTTATCTGACAGTTTCCTTCTCCATAGGTCCAGCGCTCTCAGGGTCATTTGGACAGAGCTGATTCCAAGTGCCGAAGCCAGAGCAGCAGTGTCTGACACAGTGACTCCTGCCACTTTAATCAGCCTGCGTAGATCAACCAGTTTAGAGTGGTACAGTGCTCTCCGTAGGCCAGGCAAAAATTCATCACATACATCAAGCCTGGCACCATCAATCAAAGGCTCTTCAAGTAGCCAGTGCGTAGACACGTGCTCACCTGTAGTCAATTTTAAAAAAGCACACACTTTAAACAGGCCCTGATAAAACCCCGGTGAAGTACATAAAATCAGTGAACCAAAACCTGTCAAAAACCATGCAAAGTCTAGATCGAAACCACCTAGACGCCTCAACACACAACCCGCCACACTTCTCCATACTAAGTCAGAGGTACCATATAAAAACCGTTGTACAAACCATAACCTGAACACAGCAGCCCTGCTAGCCAGGTGGACCAGACCCTGCCCCCTCCTCTCGAGATAGAAACAAGACAGCCTGTGGGACTCAGTGATATTTATCCCAGAAAAAGTTTACCATGTCAGCTTGTATCCTGGCCAGCAGACCACTCGGCGGGTCCAGGCACACGAGCTTGTGCCATAGCTGGGAGGCTACCAAGTTATTTAAAACCAGCACTCTCCCTCTGTATGACATCTGTGGGCAAACCCACCTCCACCTAGACAATTTTCTCAAGTACCCCTTCCAAATTCTTCATTATGCTTTCACTGCCTAAATATATGCCAAGATACTTTAGGCCGTCGTTCCGCCACACCAGTTGTTGAGGCAGTATTGGGGGGGGGGGGGGGCATCCTCCCATTTGCCGGCCAAGAGAGCAGTACTCTTCCCCCAGTTCAGTTTTGCAGAGGAAACCCTTTGAAATTTGCTCACAACAGTAGTTAGAGCGTCTACATCACTCTGATCCTTAACGAAAACAATCACATCATCTCAGAATCAGAATCTGAATCAGAATCAGAATCAGAATCAGAATCAGAATCTGAATCAGAATCAGAAAAGGTTTATTGCCATTGTCAGTGAACAAACCATTCACAAACTAGGAACTTGCTTTGGTACTAATGTGCTACATATAACATGAATAATAAGAATAAAAATAGAATAAAACTTTCAGCTATAAAAATGGCAGGTAATGGTAACATGGCCGATAACGTGACGCTGTGTCGAGTAGAGAAGACGAGCATGGTTGTGTGTTTATAAGCTGTTCACAAGTCTAACGGCAGATGGAAAGAAGCTGTTCTTATGGCGGGAGGTTCTGGTCCGGATGGACCGTAACCTCCTGCCTGAGGGAAGCGGCTCAAAAAGTCTGTGACCCGGGTGAGAAGGGTCAGCTGCTATCCGACCTTCACGCCCCCGAGTCCTGGAGAGATGGAAGGCTGCAGCCAATCACCTTCTCAGCAGAGCGCACAATGCGCTGCAGTCTATGTTTGTCGCTCACCGTGGCTCCAGCGTACCACACAGCGATGGAGGAAGTGAGGATGGACTCAATGATGGCCGTGTAAAACTGCACCATCATCTGCGTATGCAGATAGAATGAACCTGTCACTATAACCAGGCAGCAACAAGCCGGTAATCGCGTTTCTTAGTTTACAGAGGAGGGGTTCCAGGGAGAGTGCATAGAGCATCCTAGACAGGACACAGCCCTGCCCGACACCTCTACACACCCTAAAAGGAGCACACAGGCTGCCATTAACCTTCAGCACACTCTCGATGTCACTGTATAACACCTTAATCATGGAGATGAAACCAGCATTGAACCCACAACTCTCCATGGTTTCCCATAAAAAGATGTGTTCTACACGGTCAAACGCCTTATCTTGATCTAATGACATCAGGCTGACATCAGCCTCCAATGAACCAGAGACGTCCAAAACATCACGAATGAGGTAGATATTATCTACCATGGACCTGCCTGGCACACAGCACGTCTGGTCACGATGGATGACCTCCTCCATGGCTCCCCTCAGTCTCAACGCCAGAGTCTTGGACAAGATCTTATAGTCCATGCAGAGCAGCGACACAGGACGCCAGTTCATCATCTCTCTCAGATCTCCCTTTTTTGGCAGAGGTGTGACGATGGCCCTATGACAGGACAGCGGTAGTAAACCACACTCAAGGCATTCGTTAAAAACATCAAGGAGATCAGCAGAAAGAATGTCCCAGTAGGCTTATAAAAACTCCACCGTCAGTCCATCAATACCTGGAGCTTTCAGTCCTTGCATCGTCCTCAAAGCAGCGCCAATTTCATCCACAGACAGAGGCATTGCAAGCCTGGCCTTCATCTTGTCAGATACTTCAGGCAGTCCTGTTAAAAACTCCTTGGCAGAGTCATTTCTCCTCAGCTGTTCACTCTGGAACAGGGCAACGAAGAAGGAGGCTGCTCTCTGCCGTACCTCACTGGGCTCTGTCAACTCCTGACCAGTCTCTGACAACAGAGAATGGATGACTTTTAGTTGTCCGCGTCTTTTCTCCAAGTTGAAGAAAAAGCTGGAGGAGGCATCCATCTGGGAGATGTTTTTAACCCTCGAGCACACCAGACCGCCCTGCACTTTGGTGTCAAGCAGGTCAGCCAAAGTGGCTTTTGTAGTCCTAAGGACTTCAAAATGTCCTTGAGCTGCTGTGGACTCGCACAACCTCTCACACTCCACAATATCCACCTCCAGATCGTGAACTGATTTGGTAATATCCCGAGTGACATCGAGACTATACTGCTGACAGAGTTGTCTTATTTTCACCTTCCCATGATCCCACCGCTGTCTCAGAGACGAGAATTCACCCTTCCTTTGACTAAAATCAGCCCAATAAAACTTTAAAGCATCTCTAAAACACCCATCAGCAATCGTATTACCATTAAAATGCCAATACGCACTTCTACAGGAGACAAGCAACTTAAAAACCGTACACTCCAGGATAGCATGATCCGTAAAACCAACAGGTAAAATTTTACACTCATTAAAAACAGTAAAATGATGTTAAAAACAATAAAGATGGTCTAAACGAGCAAGAGACAGCCTACCTTCACAGTGGTGGGACCATGTGTACTGTCTGCAGTCTGCATGCATCCTTCTCCGTACGTCCACCAGACCATAAGTGCAAACCAGCTGCCTCAGACTGAGAGGATGAGGCTCTAAATGGTTATGATCCAGACCATCATTCAACGTACAGTTGAAATCACCTCCCAAAAAGAAATACTCAGTAACATCAAGATTTCTCAACATGTCAGTAACATTAAAAACATCCTGTTTCAGCTCCCACAGTAGGTGCATAAACACTTACAAAGACAACCTTAAAAAGGTCAAACTTGGCTGTCACAGCCAAAGTCCTTCCCCTAACCAAGTTCACCACTTCCACAGAATTAGGGGAGAAGCTCTTAGAACATAAAACTCCCACTCCAGCACTTACTGATGTGCCGTGATCTAAAAAATCTCATCCAGCCCGCTCCCTGTTCCAGTCCATTTGATTTAAATCATCACTATAGGTTTCTTGTAACAAAGTCACATCTATGCATTTAAGCTGTAAGGACTCAAACAGCACCGCTCTCTTTCTGGGATCCCTCGCTCCATTTATGTTTAAGGAGCACATCTTAAAACCATCACCAGCACCCATTATATTAAATATCTGACTGGCAAAGACAAAAAATACCAGCAGAGTGAAACCAGAGATTTTTACACCCATATCAACACTTTTTTTATCTTGGCCAACAGCTGTCATGTTTGGGTGTAAACTTTTGACCCACGACATGTAGAATCACCACGGGAGACAGAAGGTAAGTAAAAAGTGATTAATTATGCTTGGTTAAGGTGTATGAGGAGATCCGAGGTCCGGGGGCTCCAGTAGATTCTGAAGTGGAAACAGGTATGAGTATATTGAAGTTAATTTGTAAATAAAGCCAAGTGAGAAGAGGCCAAAACATCCACGGTTTCCTGGATGTTTTGAGAGCTCGAGAGGTGGGCAAGTCAGGTCTGGCTGAGCGGGATGGTTGAAAGACAGAGACGATGACTGAGAGCTGAGCACAGAGTCCAAATTTGTCTAGAGTGGCAGGTGAGCGGTGGAGAACAGGCGTTCAGAGGTGAGCGGCGTTGCTGGCAGGCAGGGTTGATCCAGGGAGTTGGAGCTGGATGTCCTTTATATCACCGAGTCGTGGACTGTGCCGGGTGAGTGGGCACCTATCGCCAAACTGCTGGGTGTGCCTACTTGAATGTCCCCAGGCCAACGGTCCGCGGCGGGGGTTTATTGATGATTTTCAAGACTAATATTCCCTGTCGGCCTACCTCCTACCTGGGAAATTGTGACTTATTCGAACTGTCCACCTTTGAACTGGGATTGTCTCCTCCAACACTTTGTATTTTACTATATAGGCCCCCTAAGGCAAATTCTTCTTTTTTCTTCTCCCAATTTTCAGACTTTCTTGCTGATGTCCTCCTTAAGTATGATCATTTGCTTATACTTGGAGATTTTAATACTCATGTCTGTTGTCCTGAGAAGTTCCTGGTGGCTGATTTTTGTAATTTAATTGACTCTTGTGGACTCACTCAGTTGGCTGACTTCCCCACTCATGGGGGGTCTCACATATTGGATTTAGTTTTTTATTTTGGTGTTGATGTAACAGAGGTCCGACCTGATGTTTTTTCTCTGTCTGATCATGTTCCTGTTTTGTTTTCTGTGGATGTGGCCCGGCCTGTCTCTCCTAGGCAGGTGGGGATTCGCCGTGCTCGCCGCATTACCCCTTCCTCAATTGTTGAGTTTTCTGTTTTATTTTCAGATTCTTTGTTTTCCCATGAGGATTCTTCTGATCCTGAGATCCATCACCCTCTTTTCTGCCTCTTGCACTTCCGTGCTCGATCGGATTGCCCTTCTAAGATCGCGACGTTCCCGCTGTCGCTCTGACCCTTGGCTCAACCTTCATACCCGTACTGCTAGAGGGGAATGTAGGAGATGTGAGCGGCGGTGGAAAAAGGTTGAATCTCCGGCTTCCTTCCACCTTCTCCGTGAGGCCTGGAAGAATTACCAATGCGTTGCTCGGAAGGCCCATTTTGAATATTTAGCTGCTATTGTTGTTTGAGTGAGGATCTGGACTCCTCAAGCTGGGTGATACTGTCTGTCTCAGACCTGGTGTAGAGAGCGTTGAGGTCTTCAGGGAGGGAGGTGGGGTTGCTGCCTTCCACCTGGACGGTTCTGGAGGCGGTGACCACAGTATTTACAGCAGCCATGGTTTTAGGGCCCTGCCAGGCTGAGCGAAGGTCCCCTGTGGTAAATTTTTTCCACATAGTTTTTATACTTCAGTTCAGCAGCTTTAATGGCCCTCTTGACCTCCCTGTTGACTTCTTTCTTGTCCTGTGCAGAACCGGTGAAGGATTTCCTTTAGCTCCTTGGTGGTCCAAGGTTTGTTGTTGGGGCAGATGGTGGCATTTTTTGAGGGGAAGATGCTGTCTACACAGAAGGAGATGTATGATGATACGGTGTCGACATGATTGTTGATGTCATCAGAGGAAGAAAGAAGGCTGACCCAGTCAGTGGCCTCAAAACATCCTTGTAGGGTGAGGATACTTCCCGCTGTCCACTGCTGGATGCTTTTGGTCACCTTTTTAATCCTCTTGATGACTGGGGTGTAAGCAGGAGCCAGCAGGATGGTGTGGTGGTCTGCTATCTAGAAGAACTGAGTCCTGGGTGTAAAAAGAATTGGTTTGCATTAAACTATGAAGTCGGTTCTTATCAAAAAGGTATCAGATGCAATCTGTCATGTCTACGTACCACAAGTGGAGACTCTCTTTTGGATCCGAGATGTCGGGGGGTCGGGTGACCCCAAGGGTCTAAAGTCTGTAGGAAAAACTGCAGTACGACCGGGTCAGTCCAGAGTTCAAACTTCAGTGGTTCAAGCACAGATTAATCAAAACATTATTGATCATTTCATACAACATTTGTTCGTTCCATTTCAGGAATGATTAACTCATACGAGCTGAAAACAGCCACTCTTATAACGGTCCAGTCGGGCCTAGATAACCAGGCAGGCTTGGCACAGAAGGACCTTGAGAAGGGAACAGTTTGTTATCATGTGTTCTGAGCTGCAGAGAGGCCCGGACTCCAGCTGATGGAATGGCAGGATCCGGCAGATTAAAGGCCACACATGTAGACTCCTGTCTCCATATGACCAGACACTGAAGGGGTCAAACTGTACATGAAAAACTGACCATGTCTGGACATTACAGTGTGAATATACTGACAATAAACCATTATTAAACCATTAAATAGACTTATTTGGTGTATATATGATCTGAAATAAGTCAGTAAAATAATAAACATTTATGATGATTTATTCATTACTGTAAAGCAGTCAAGAAGTTATTAAATCACTTTAGATAAAACGTTCATTGTAGATAAAACAGGAGGGCACGATTGTAATCAACTTGTAAAGTTAGGAATTCATTTATGAGACCAAATAAGATTATTTTATTAAAGTGCAAAGAGTCATTGTGGGGAGACCTTGTGGTTCGCAGACACTAAAGCAGGAGAGATATTGTTATGGCTTCGACCTCTCGGTAGCAAGGTCAGGAGCAGTATATTTTCTGGTTTGGAGACCAGCACACTGATGAAGAGTCTGTGGACAGTGTCTTAATCTTTGCATTTCACTGCCTTCTCCAACGGTACAGCATCCTTGACCCTCTCAGGCTCAAAATAAGTTCTGATTAAAGGACGAACAACTAAGTCCTTCAGAGGTACTTCTGAGTTAAAAAATGCTCATGAAATACGTACGTGGAGTAACCAGGTAGGTAGTTTTAATGTTGCACATCTGCAGCGCCTGCCTCCAGAGGGTTAAGAAAAGGCATCTGTGGATCTCTTTCTTGACATGAAACCATACTGCTGCTCACAAATGCTGGATGTGTCTAGCTGGACAGAACATTTCTTTGAACATTTGGCGTTTTTATAGAGGCAGTAGAGACCCACGTGGCAGTACAAAAGGATGCTAAAAGTCATATTTGCAAAATGTGTTCCAGTTAAAAGTCTTTCTCAGTCAATGCACAGACTAATCTGATGAGGGTTGTGGAGGTGTGCACCTAGGACGTGTATCCAGTCTGCCATGGACAACAGCACTAACCCACTTCACCACCATCCAGACCCTGCTGCAGCTTTATTGAACTCAGTTGTTTCCAACACTTAAACCCATTTAACGTAACTTCTGGAGTTTCCATTCAACATTGCTTTATGCTTGCAAATCAGTAAAATAAAAGCTCATTCTCTTTCAGGGTGCCGTTGGTCTTGATGGTCCAAAGGGCGAACAGGTAAGTTGCACCTGCTGTCATGACCAGTGTTGACTTTGATCAGCTCATCAGCCTGAAATCTGTGATGTCTTTACTTTAGGGACCCTCGGGTGATGAAGGCCTATCAGGAACAAAGGGCGACACGGTGAGTGTTACCCAGTTGGAGCAGCTGCTTTTAACTGGTGTTTTCAGACAAAAACAAAGTGGGAGAGCCAGCAAGCGATCGGCAGATGTTCACCGTATAAAGACACTAAAGTGAAAAAGACTCTGCTCCTTCCACACATTACCAAGGCTTTCTGTTTCAGGGTGACGAAGGAGAGGCAGGAGAGAAAGGATCGGTATGTGCACCCACATCAGCTGTTTGTCTGCTAGCTTACCAAGAATTTCTGCTGTTTGTTCGAGGTTTCAGTTAGAAGTGAGCTTTAAACCTTCTTCTAGTTTGGCCCAGAGGGTGTGTGGGTCATTCTCTTCTGTGTGCTGGGTACAGTCAGGCCCACCTGGAGAAACAGGAAACAAAGGACCTGAAGGCAGCCGAGGACAGCCGGGAAAAGAGGGCAAACTGGGTCAGCCCGGACCGCGAGGCATGCAGGGAGATCCAGGAGTACCGGGCCTGCCGGGACCTCAGGGACCAGCGGTGAGAACGTGTTGTGTAACACCACAATAAAAACATGTGTTGTTACTGGAAAGCGTTACTGTTTGCTGGAAGGTTCTACTTTGGTATAATGTTTGATGGAGTTGCTACAGCTAACGGGGACCAACGCCACTCTCAAGAGCTCATATTTAATATGGCAGGCTCTGGCCTTGTGGGCAGATGTGGCTAAATACTTTAGTTGTTATGTGTTGGGAAGCTGCTGTCACTACGTAATACATAATAAAAGATGACAGCAGAAGTGGGGTTAAGGTTGGTTTACGCTTGACGCGTCCGTGAGGTTCGCACGGCTCCGCGCGGTGAAATTGCGTCATTTTAACAACCACGCCCCTCCACCGCGCCTCCGCACGGCCCAAACTTTCCGCACCTAGGAAAATTTCTAACCACGCGGACAGTCGGACGTGGAAAAACACGGCGGACCAGCAAGAACTAGTATGGCAGAGGTTGGTAAATACAGATATTTGTGTGATTCAGCTCTCAGAGATCACCGTGATCAACATGTTGTTAATAATTCTTGGAGAGAAATAGCTCGCACTGTCGGAAAAGACGAGGACGCTGTTAAAAATGCTGGAATGTCATGTTGTAAACAGAAATTTCTACTTCTACTATGGTGTAGTGTTGGATGCATGCCGTAGAGCTCCATGCTGCCCCCTACAGTTTGGGAGAATATTGGCTCACCGCAGAGACGAGCCACATGAACCATAAACGCTGCGAGCTGTGAAGCGCGTTCCAGCCGCGAGCCGCATCACCAAGCGGAAAGTAAACGCGTCGAGCATAAACCAAGCTTAAGGAGACGTTCTAGCAGCAGACCCTCAAGTTTTTTTATTTTATGCTCATATTTTACTTCCTTTTGTTTTTACAGGGGAAGTCACCCACAGATAAACACATCAAACAAGTCTGCATGAGGGTGATGCAAGGTAAGTGTTAACATTTTAACATCTGTCACATTTAACTGCTTCCTCGTGACTCTGTTTGGTCTAATGGCAGCTGCTTTTATTAAATTGACTAATATAGCCCAACTTCCTATTGTGTCACAGAGCAGCTGGCCCAGCTAGCAGCCAGTCTGAGGAGACCTGAGTCAGGTATTGCTGGGCGCCCCGGCCCTCCAGGCCCACCTGGACCTCCGGGACCTTCTGGAGAGAACGGCTTTCCTGGCCACACTGGGTCACGAGGCCTCCCAGGTTTAAAGGGTCCACCTGGGTCAATAGGTCACAAAGGACTTAAAGGTGAGTTCCAGGCTGCTAGTGCCACAGGTATGTATGTAAACACTAGATGGCTCGTCCCGCTGTTCGCCAATGGGATGCGACGTAGGCACGTGGCGGCCATCTTACCTCAGACAGCTGCCCCCTTTCGTGACATTGGGGTGTATAGTGCATGTACTATTTAAATAACTCTTACTTGCTCAATTTTCAACTGATTTTCAAAAGGTTTGATTTGTTATAAACGCCGGAGATGTGTCTGTGAAATAGGATGGGTTTGGCCCAGAAATTCCTGTTATTTCACTCCACAAAGCATTTAATCTTTCATAAATAACACATTTAATGGTAAGCTACAGTAACTTAAAATATACATAGCTTATCATTATATATATATATGGTTATTGCTACACTCAGAGGTATATTTGGATATGGTTTTGGGCTAAATTGGTGTAATATTGGCACTCCTCCTTCCCTTTGGTTAACAACTGCACTATAGGTTCTAAATCCAGTTTTCAATCGGGAACTGGAAATCAAAGCACAGAATATGTGATCATCGGGGAGCACCACCAGACCTTCGGCAGACTGCTGCTTAATCCAGAAAAAGGACAGAAACGGAACAATGATGCAAACATGGCAGCAGGTCTCCAACAGAAGGGATGAAAAGTGTTTAGAAGTTGAGATGAGACACTGCCAACATCAGTGTGTGGCTAAGTTGGTTCTACACTGAACAAAAATGTATCTAACCCTAACGCAACACTTTTGTTTTTGCTCCCATTTTTCATGAGATGAACTCAAACATCTGAAAATCTGTCTACACTAGGGATGAGCGAAACGAGAATCCGGTACGGATAAAGCATATTTGACGAACACGAGCATGAAACGAGTAAAACTCGTAAATATCTGTAATCGTGCTGAAGGAAAATCCTCATTGGGTAACTGACTGTCTTCACGCTCTGTGATTGGCCAGTCACATGGAGCGCCCGCCCCTCCCTACACACAAAACTGCAGCCGGGAGCTCAGTCCGCCTACGCTCCACTCGGGTTTCTCTCTCTCTCTCTCTCTCTCTCTCTCTCTCTCTCTCTCTCTCTCTCTCATACAGTGAGTGATACAGAGGGTACTTCAGCTGAGACTGAATCAAATAATTTATAATTAAAATAATCAAATTAAAATAAAAAAAGTTGTGTCTGGCTCTAGTATTTCATGTTTCCTAGTTCCTACTGCATAAGCTCAGATGTATTAATCCATGCACTTAAATATTAATGTTCTGATTTTATTGAAAAACTTGTTCTGTAATAGTTACTTTACTATTGTGATCAAAAATATTTAATCTCAATTCTGAGGCTGCTCTGTAAATGGTTTTCAAATAAACAATACACATAGCAACTTGTGATCAATCCATATCAACTTCAGACATAAAATGATGTATTGGTGTAAATCGTACTCACTTCCGGTTAAACCACACCCACTTCCGGGTTAGGCCACGCCCACTCCAAGTACAGATACGGATACAGATAATTTAGATGGTTGAACAGATACAGATACAGATAGTGGTGTACTCGCTCATCCCTAGTCTACATACACAAAAATCGGTTATGCAAACCGTTTGTTGCTGCAGCTGTCCAGGTGGCTGGTCTCAAGTTTTACTGGAGGTGAACATGCTGGATGTGAAAGTCCTGGGCTGGTGTGGTCACACGTGGTCTGCGGTTGTGAGGCCGGTTGGATGTACAGCAAAATTCTCTGAAACGTCTTTGGAGACAGCATATGGTAGATAAATGAGCAATCATTTCATGGGTAATAGCTCTGGTAGACAGCCCTGCAGTCAGCATGACAATTGCACGCTCCCATAAAGGTTGCAACATCTGTGGCATTGTGCTGTTTGATCAAACTGCTCATAAAGGGGTGTCCTTTTATTGTGGGCAGTCTAAGGCACACCTGTACATTATTCATGCTGTCTATTCAGCCCCTTGATATGCCACACCTGTGAGGTGGGATGGATCATCTTGGTAAAGTAAAAGTGCTCACTAACACATGTAGACAGATTTCAGAACAACATGGGTGTTTAGTGTTTGTAGAAAAAGTTTCAGATGTTTGTGTTAGCTCATGAAAAATGGGAGCAAAAACAAAAGTGTTGTATTTATGTTTTTGTTCAGTGTAATAGCTCAACAACATGTTTAAAATTTTAAAATACGTGGAGGGAAAAGGATTAGGGTTGGGTCCTTTCATCAGAGGACCCAATCATCTTCATGAATAGTGATGTTTGCTTGTGTGTTTCCTCCCCACAGGTGACCAGGGTGACCAAGGAGACCGAGGACCAACCTTGAGAGGGCACAAAGGAGAACCAGGAGTTGCTGGTCTCCCAGGTACTTTCATGACCCCACCACCAAATCAAACATTGTTCTCTGAAGTTCGTAAAAACAAAATGCGGTAACTGGTTCACATGTTCTACTTCTGTTCCCATTAACTGGACCTGACTGACTTGTACTGTAAAACATCCTGTGATGCTTCTAGCTAAATCTGTGTCCGTGACCTTTGGCCTCTTTTCACAGGTGAACCCGGACGACCAGCTTACGGTACACATGGCCGTGATGGAGAAAGGGGACCTCGTGGTGTTCCTGGAGTCAACGGTGTTCCTGGACCTCCAGGCCCTCCCGGTCTGAATGGTTTTTGTGAGCCATCACAGTGTGTCCTGCCTGAGGTCCAATCGGCGAGTCTGGGAAAGAACTCTGGTATGAAGGGTCCAAACGAGATATGAGAGGACCCAGTCTGAGCTGGAGTAAAAGTCTGAGAGACACGGACATGTCCTTTTAGATGTTTAACTCAGATATGTGGACTTGAAAATTGTAAAACTACAAGAGCATTTTTGATGAGTGAAAACCCGACGGTATGTAATCCTACTGGCTCGTTTCTATCCAAATGATGAGGCTTTCTGTATTTTTGTACAAATGTGTTGATGTATCCAGCTGGATAACAGGAAATGGCCTTTCTCTCAAATCCCAAACCCCTCTCCCCCACCTGAATAGAGCCCTGTTTCATTCCTGGTCTGAAGCTTTGTGGGTTCTTTTATACAAATTCTTATTTATTGCATTAAACATTTGATGAAACACCTTCCAAGTTGTACAAAATAGGAAATAAACACATTTTGATAAACTTTTGTATGTTTTGTATGGGCGAATAGGGTGAAAAATAAAGCCAGCAGCACTCAATTAAAGAGATCCTTCAGAGAAACAAATGATTGGTCACTGTTTTCATACAGGCCGAACATGAAAACAGCCTCTCACACCTTTAAAAAGAACTGAAAAAGCAAAGGGTCTAAGACAGGCTCCTGAGCAACCCCCATTTCAGAGGAGCATCCTCCGATGAACAGGTGCCCATAGAGACAAAAAGACCTATCTGATAGGTAAGCTCTCGCCTACTGCCAGGCATCTCCAGGGAGACCATTGTTCTAAGTGGACCAGTGGGATCTGGTGGTCTACTGTGTCAAAGGCAGTGGTAAGATCCAGGAGCAACAAAACCACGGCATCCCCCTCGTCTGTAGCTAAACACATCATTCAGTACCCTTCACTAGTGTTCCAGTGCTTTGGCTGGTTCTAAACCCGGTCTGCAGGTGCTCTAGAAAAACAAGGTCATTCAGGAATATAAACAGTTGTTTATATACAACACTTTCAATTATTATGGGCTGCATGGTGGTGCAGTGGTTAGCACTGTTGCCTCGCAGCACGAAGGTTGCAGGTTCAAAACTCGGCTGCGGCCGTTCTGTGTGGAGTTGTGTGTTCTCCCCATGCATGCGTGGGTTTCCTCCGGGTACTCCGGTTTCCCCCACAGACCACAACATGCCCTATAGGTTATAAACTGTAAGTCGCTTAAGATAAAAGCGTCTGCTAAATAAATAAACATAAAAATTTTTGCACAAAAAGGAAGATTAGAGATAGGCCTATAATTAGCTAAACTCCTGAGTCCAATTCCATCTTCTTCAGCAGTGGCCTTACAACAGCATGTCAGCTCCCGTGGAACCGTGCTAGAGGAAGAGCTGTGATTTACAAGAGTTAAAATCACAGGGGCTACAACATCCTTAAGAAACCAAGCTGGCATGGGACCACCATGGGACCCAGCAGGTTTTAGTTTGGGAAATTAGAGTTTCAGTACACACAATTCTGAGATCAGACATACAGACATGGACACATGACAAGAATTGGTGACTGTGGTCATTCGCAACCTGAGTCGCGCTACCTTAATAGAGATCAGAGGGTTTATATGTGAGGATTGAGTCAGGTGGAGGAAAAAAAGGCACTTCAGAGTTACCCTCCACAGAGAGGGCAGCTTTGCTCTGCAAAAAACACCTCAGACAGATATGCAACAGACTTCAGACATCACACAACATAAGTGTCCACTAGGTGAGGTGGTAGGGTTGGGACTCTCCTCACATCAGTGCATGCAGCCACGATAAGCAGCGCTGGTCACCTCTGTTTGGACAGGGGTGGAAGGTAATTGGGTTAGAGGGCACAGTGACTCCTGGAAACGATTCAACGGCCTTCACCGGTCGCAGTCCCGCCCAGGCTGGGATAGGGAGACAGAGTTACCATGACAACGGCAGCATGCCACATTTCTACTGAGGGGGAGTAATCACTTCAGCCTCACAGGCTCAAGGGCATCAGATTCAGATAAGAACTTGTTTTGGGGACAGACAGAGATAATTTCCTCTCTGTCTTAAAGTTCTGTTGGTCTCAACCTCTCTAAATGTAATAATGGCGTAATTAATCTATTCCCAACCGTCCTGTCCAGTCAACTCGCTCCTTGATCGAATCAAACTTCTGTGCCAGAGTCTGAATCTCAGCCAAAGTTCCAAGCTTACGACTCATCTCGACAAATAAATGAGTCTGTGCGTTCACAGCGCGATGCATTCCACCCCTGAGCTCCGGGATTGAGCCAATATTCCTCGACAGCTCATTCATTTTCCAGTAAGCCAGGTAAAACAGGAAACTCGACACCAACACCACGAATATCCAGAAGTCTTCAGAATCCTCTACAGACAGCTGAGAGAGGCAGATCAGGTTCCACTGTTTCCAGGAGTCCATGATATACCCAGCTGGCTCTGTCCCAGAGGGGCATCCGGGAGCCCCTTCTCCCGTTCTCATCGTTGAAAAAATTTTGTCAATCGCGTTGAGAGACCAACTGACCAGGTCCATTTTTAATAATTTCCAGTTTCCAGAAAAAATGCAGAAGCGCCGTGCACAGACAGGACAAAGAGCCTTGGGATAAGGAGGGAGGAGAGGAGGAAAAAGGCATCTGTACTCCCCAAGAGCCAGGAGAAAAAAATAGTTAATAAAATTGATTAAAAGGGTCATATCCTATCCAATAAGGCGATAGACTCAAGTGTTTGATTTTATCCATCCATCCATCCATCCATCCATTTTCATCCGCTTATCCGGAGCCGGGTCAAGGGGGCAGCAGCCTAAGGCGAGAGGCCCAGACTTCCCACTCCCCAGCCACTTGGGCCAGCTCCTCCGGGGGAATCCCAAGGCGTTCACTGGCCAGGTGAGAGACATAGTCCCTCCAACGTGTCCTGGGTCTACCTTTAGGTCTCCTCCCAGTTGGACGTGCCCGGAAAACCTCACCAGGGAGGCGTCCAGGAGGCATCCTGACCAGATGCCCGAGCCACCTCATTTGGCTCCTCTCGATGTGGAGGAGCAGCGGGTCTACTCCGAGGCTTCTCACCCTATCTCTAAGGGAGAGCCCAGCCAGCCACTCTTCGGAGAAAACTCATTTCGGCCGCTTGTATCCGCGATCTCGTTCTTTCAGTCACTACCCAAAGCTCGTGACCATAGGTGACGGTAGGAACGTAGATCGACCGGTAAATCGAGAGCTTCGCCTTCTGACTCAGCTCTCTCTTCACCACGACAGACCGGTACAACGCCTGTATCACTGCAGGTGCAGCACCAATCCACCTATCGATCTCACGCTCCAGTTTTCCCTCACTTGTGAACAAGACCCCGAGATACTTAAACTCCTCCACTTGGTGCAGGACCTCATCCCTGACCCGTCGGATGATGCCAGAAGCCAGGGACTCCGAGATGTATTTCTCCATACATTCGCGTTCGGGCTTGGAGATGCTGTAAAGACGACTAGAGGGGAGAGGTGCTGCTGGAAGCAGGTCAATAGCACAGTCATATGGTCTGTGTGGAGGTAAGGAGGATGCCTTGTCCTTGAAAAATACCTGCTGAAGGTCGTGGTATTCGATGGTAGCTCCAGTGAGGTCGGGGGTTGAGTTCTCCGGGGATCGAAGCTCGGAACTGGGACGGGCTGATCCTAGACAGGTGGTGTGACATTTGTTGCTCCACATCTCGACCTTGTTGGATACCCAGTTGATGTGGGGGTTGTGATTCTCTAGCCAAGGATGTCCCAGGACGACCGGAGACTGGGGAGTTGGGAACACAAAAAAAGAAAGCTCTTCATGATGGTTACCTGAAATCAGGAGTTGAACGGGAGCAGTCTTGTGGGTGATGGGGGTTAATGAACTGCCGTCCAAGGACGAAACCCTACGGGGGTCCGTCAGAGGAATGGTGGTGATCCTTAGTTGCTCAACTAGCTGTTGGTCCAATAGGTTCTGTTCACAACCGGAGCCAATCAAAGCCCGGGTGGATATGGTTTTCTGGTTATAAGAAACAGTACAATCAAAGGCACACGAGAAGTCATGTTAGCTGAGGAACTGCCCACCAGTACTCTCAGAGCTACTGATGGGCCTTGGGGTTTAACTGTTTGGGGCAATCAGACACAAAATGGCCAGATAAGGCACAATATAAACAAAGACCGGCTCTCATTCTCGTTTCTCTCCTCTTGACTTAGCTTTGTCCGGACGATCTGCATGGGTTCGCTTAGGGAT